GAGAGCTTCTCAATAGCCCGCCTCTCTCCTCGACTACAGTGCGGGGGAAGACAGAATCCACGGATGCTTCTCCCAGTTCTGACACGGGAACTTAGCACATAATTGGGATCCAGGTCATCACCTCCCTATAAATTGGGAAATCAGTGAGTACAACCCTGTTACCAAGATACCTCCCCTAAGTACACGTAGCTCCCATACATTTGAACGTGCACCTTACACTTGAGGAATTGACACCTTGGTCTGTAAGACCATGTCTTACTGTAGGACTATTTCCTTCAGCATTAGGTCAAGTATGTGTGACACAACCCTTGTTTAGAGGCCAAGGGTACAGCTACTAAGCAGTCCTAAAAGACAGGGATACCACCAGACCATCAGTTTTATGTCCATTTCAGACTACAATCTGGGCTTCTGTTACCCCTTCAGATCTGCAATCTAGAAGTATCAACATGAGGCAGAACCTTCTTTAGGTAGGTGTTTACTCTTGCAAAAAAAACCTTATTCATTACTGTTCTCCAAACTTTCTTATTTTCAGTATGACCTACAGCAAGCCCATCAACATGTCATCAGGAACTCCTAGATTTTACAGTAACATTTTAAATCCATAAACCAGGCAGAAATCCTTACTCCTAGCCATAATATCTATTCGATAGTATGACACCATCAGTTGATATTTAAGATCCAAGATCAGATAGCAGGAAGTGTTTAATTTTTATGACAGGCCACGACTCCTAGGACAGTGTTGTTCAGGCTTGACTACTACAGCCCACGGTTCATGGAAATACATAAAGGTGTTTGGTACAACCTGTGCCACAGCAGCACCTGAGGCAAGCTCCTGCTGCATGCCAGCTGCCTGGTTCTACCCAGCCACTGACATCCTACAGCAGCAAACTCTTCAGTCTGACTGCATCAGACTCATAGCCCATGTGTCTGTGCTCCGTGGAAGTGAGGGGACAGAGCCTGAACAATCAGTTTAGGCAGCTGCCAACAACTTTACAGTCCTTGGGCCAGTAACCTGTAATCGATCACAAGTTTATACCTGCAGGTTATCAGCATTCAGGTCGGTCTTGTGCTGATCGCTTGGTTTGTAGCCACCATGCCTGTCTTCAATAACTGGATCAAAGAGCTCCTTAAACACGTCATAGGATTCTTCATCACCAGCCACACATCCTACTGTCATTATGAAGGGATGGCCTGAAGTGGTAATAAAGTCAGAAGAGCTAAGTTTGGGTGACGTTTGGCTGTACTCCAGCGCAGCACTAACCAGGCAAGTTCTTTAGTGGCAAGTCTAGTCACTTAGAAATTCATTCTTACATAAAAACATTTGGAGAGACCCTACATTTTGCACTTCATCCAGTTAATCAAATGCAGTGCTATGGAAACCCATAGCTGTTGTCATTAAACCATGCTCCTTTGTCAAGCTTGGTTTAGGACAAATTTGCACAGCACATCTAATTTTACTAACTAATTTAGATCACTGGATAGAAGTCATGTCTAAACAATCATGCTTTGCTGTAAGCAAGCATGCTTCGCTTTTTTGCTCCTTCTGCTACAGAGCTACATTTCTGTAGTCTGCTCATAAATACCACCTCCACAAGATTAGTTTTAAGTCACCATATTCAAAAGCACCAGTTACTTCAGCTGGTTCACACGGAATATTCTCAACGCGTTTTACCAGGATTATCAACCCCAGTCTGAATGACATCATCCAGGGTGAAGCCACTGGGCGTGACTCTGTCTCTCAGTTTCGTGTATAAATCCAGGGTTAGAACTTTGGCCATGTGGTTGTTGTGGGTGCTCAGGTCCGGGTACTCCTCATCAGGAGGCAGTCTCTGATTATTTAGTTGGGCCATTTTGATATTGCTAGAGTAAAAATAAATACTGTAATGTTAACATGTAAACACATCTGCTCCCCCTTTTTCATAGAAGTGCTAGAGAACATCACATAACCAGTTTGGAATAAGAACAGACCAGGACAGTCAGGTAAGTCAACATTCCCCCCCTCCCTCCCTGGTTGCATTATAATTAGGATGTATTTGGTTTGAGGTTTTTGGTGGGTTTTTTTTTTCCTTCAGATTTAAAGTATTTAGCAGAGTAGTTACATAATTGAAGTGTCTGGGAATTGATATGTCAGATCACAGCATGGAACATGGCTTGAAGGAGCACAGCCTCTTAATAAGGCCATGCCTTTAGCGCAGTCTCTGAATGCTTTGCAAGATTTGCCCCTCAGTAGCTCAAGAGTTTTGAGTGCCGTTGTCAAGAAGCACTTCCAGTCAGGAGGGAGAACAGATCGTTATGCAGATCTAACGGTCCCATTACCTGGGTTGTCAACCCCAGTCTGGATGCAATCATCCAGGGTAAATCCACTGGGGGTCTGTTTATCTCTCAATTTCTTGTACAGGTCCGGGGTCAGCACCTTGGCCATGTGATTGTTGTGAGCTTTCAGGTCAGGGTACTCATCCTCAGGTTTGTACTTCATCTTCAGGAGGTTGTGGCTGTTTGAGAAGGGCATGGCTGACCCTACCGTAGTCACTAAGGGAGAAAGAGGGGAAGCCTATCACAGGGGGCTTGGTAGCCTCCGAACCGCCCGGGGGAACGCCAGGCACCCAGGCAAGGTCACCTTGGCTCGTGTTCCACCCGCGCCTTTCACACCTTTGCTGCTACACCGCTTTCCACAAGCGCCAGGAAGGAGGAAAAAACCAGAAGTTCTTCACCTCCACCAGCCTGGCCGCAGGGGCAGGGGCTCTCCCGCCTCCCGGGTAAGGGGACGCCCCCAAGGTCGCCGGGAGCGGCCGCGGCAGCGCCGGGCAGACCCCGCGAGTGGCTGCGGGGCGGGGGGAGCGGCCGGGCGGCCGCGGGGCAGGGGTGGCTCGGCCCCGCCGGGACCCCGGTCCAGCGGCAGGTGAGCGGGGCGGCTCCGCTGCGCCCTCGGAGCGCGGCCGCGCCTCCTCCCAGCGCTGCCGGACCACAAGGTCCTGAGCAGCGGCAGCGCCCGCCGAGCAACGGCTGCTCCCCGGCCAGGGACCGGAGGGGCGGGCGGCATCCGACAAGCCCTTACACAACAGACGGCTCCCTCGGGGGACCTGGACGGGGCGAGCATATGTAACTACCCTGCTAAATACCAGGTTAATCTGGTTTTAAAGCGGGGCCAGCCCAGTGAGCACCTGCGTCGCGCCCCGCGCCCCGGCTGCGCCCCTGCCCCGCGCCGTCCCCCGCTCCCCTCCTCAGCCGGACCGGCTCCACCCCACATAGCAGGGGAATAAAAAGACCAAAAAAAAAAAAAAAAAAGGGAAAAAAAGAAAAAAAAGGAAAAATACAAAAAAAATTGAAATCCCTTGTCTTAACGCTGCATAGCGGCTGCCCCGGTACTTACCGAGGGCTCCGCAGCTATAGCAAGGATGTCCGCGCTGCTCCGCGCCCCGTAACGCCCGAGCCGGAGTGGAGCCCCGATCCTGCCGTTGCGTCCCTTTTATATAGAGCGCTAACCGCCGCCCCATTGGCCGTTATTTATAGCCCATTCATTCCATTGGGCCGCGCGCCGGAGGGCGGGGCCAACGCTCCGCTGCCGGCCGGTCCCGCGCCTGCCGCCATTTTGCTCGGCGTTGGGGAGGCCGCGCGGGGGCGGGGGGACCCCCTGGGGCCGCTCCGGCAGAGCCGAGGGAGCCGCGGCGCCTCCGCTGAGCGCTGATGTGTGGGCAGAATTCCGTCTCTGTGCGCCATCGTGCACCGACAATGGCCCGTTGCCATGAATATTGGCTCTTCACACCTCGGTCGAGGATTCAGCCGCGGGTGTGATAACGTGCCATCCCAAAACTGAGGGTTATGTAATGTCAGCACTGGTCGTTACTGTCAGCAACTGCCCCTGAGGCGGGTGCGGATCTGGCGCCCAGCCCTCGGCAGCCCGGCTCTGCTGAGGGAGGACCTGCACCTCGCCTCCAGCACCTGCGAAGCCGTGGGCTCGTTTTACAGTTTAAAGTGAAAGGAAGTAGGGTGGTTGTGTAAAGCACAGCGAATCCTCTGCTTGTCATGTGCCAAAAAAAAAAAAAAGAAGTCTTAAGCTTTTATTGGAGAGTGGGTGATTTCCTGCTAAAGATGGGCACAGGAACTCTGGGATCTGACCCATCTAAAGCTCACCTGAAATTCGCAAAAACAGTGACTTCCACTGGTCCCTTTGTGAGCCGGTTTGTCCCAAAGCCAAGATGCAGCTGAGAATCCTGATGTTTGCAGAAATAAATATATTAACAGTGTGAATGACTGGCTTGATCTGACTTTCACCTTTACATAATAGTATCTTTATCTTTCTCTGATGTGTGTTTCTCACAGCAGAACCCATGTTTATTATCCTCCTGTCCAAACAGAGTGTACTTATCCACGTGAATGCGGATCTGAGTCCCACAGTTGCCTTCCTTGACACAAGCTGTGAATGTCAGGAGACATCACCTAAAACTCTTTCCCTACCACAATCCTTTCAGCACCACAACCAGTACCCTCACCCTAACAACAAGAAGTGAGGGCACTTTACAGAACTGCTTAGGATTTAAAAATAATAATGTACATATAGAAAAAATCATTGCAAAATAAAAAGCCTAGACTGCCTGAAATAAAAATATACTGTGTTTGGCTGCCATCCAGATTTCCGAGTTATTCCAGGTCTGGTAGACTGAGATGCTGAATATACAGATCTCCAGGAGAAGCCAAGGGCTCAGCATCTGTACAAGTCCGGCCTCTTATCTTCCGGATCAAAGAACAAATCCTCTCTCTAGGACTGCTCTGCACTTTTAACCTCACAGAATCTTCCCCTACATATTACTAGTTTCACACAACGCTCACACTTCAGAATAGTGTAAATTGCAAGTAATGCCACGGCTAAACAAGTATTAAATGAATGTAAGCGCAAAACTGTACCCAGAGTCCTCAATAAATTAAAATATAAATATAGTACTGCTGGATTACCTCAGCTGCAAACATAATTCTGATTGTGGATTTTTCTAACGTAAAACACGTAGTTTTAATATTTTATTTGAAATAGAAATAAAACTAAAACAATTTTCTTAAGTTATACCATATTTTTGTGGTGGTGTTCTTCACAAAAAGAAAAAAAAAAATCATATCAGGGTAGGTTCTGAAGGTTCCTTTCACCTTATTCCATAATCTATTGCCACACAAACAAAGAAGCAATCAACTGTTCTGTAATGTAATTGTTCAGTAGATTTGTGGAGTCAAGGTCACCAAGATCCAAAATCCAAGGATCTACTTCTGTTCATTGGATATGCTCTTTCCCTCCCAGTCTTGCAGAACAGGAAACACCAGTCATTATAAGCAGGTAGTAGATCTCAGTGTGCCATACATTACAGCATTTCCAACACAAACAGAGACCTGTTTTTCACAGAACTTTGGTCTGAGAAGCAGATATGGAAAGAGAGTCACGGGTGCAAAAAGATTAAAATATGTTCAATTTATATGTTTAATAAACAGTGCACTCTCTACCCCTTTTCCCTCACCACTACTTGACAAACTTCTAGTGTGCAGTAAGTCAGAAGTGGCTGGGTTTTACTCAGACAGCATTTTAAGATCTGCCAAAAGCTGTGTGTAAACTGGATCCTACCTTTGTCACAGCATCCCATGCCAGCTTCCCTGGTGACTTAATTACAGATGCTGTGCCTTGTGTCAACAGCCTCTGATCACCCGCTCTATCTGCCTCATCTGCTGGGAAACACTTGCTTTGGATAAGCCTGTATGGCCTGTTAGACTGTGATAAAGGTGCCAATACTCACTTTCCATGCTGGGATGGTATCTTAGCGAATACTGACTTATACATGTTGAGTTCTGCAGCTCAGGATGGAAAGGTGGGGTGATTACTCCAGAGATCTCTGCACTGAGCTTTAACAATGAAGAATTAAGGGAAGTTAATCATGGGCCATGCAGCTAACTTCCTAAGAGGCTTAATTATAAATGTTGTGCAGTGTACAACTGCAAGAGAGGATGGGTGCTGGCTAGTGAATGTGTCTTCTGAAATTACTTGCGTGAATGTAAGATGAAGCTGAAGATTTAGGAGATAAACATTTTCTTAAAAATGTAGAAGAATATTCCGAATTAGGAAACAGCAAGAGAAAGTAGTTTGCTATAAACAACTGAATTGTCTCCAGTTCCTAACTGACAACTAAACAGCACTTGAAAATTAAACATAACACTCATGTAATAGTAAATTAAAGAAATTGGTTATAGTTGCATCTGCTTGTCAAGTGAAACTTCTCTTCCCATTTATATTTATCACTTAAAATGTATGTGCCTAGTTATTATCCTTGGTGTACTTTTTCTCACTTCTTAGGCAGTCTGTTGAAAATTACTGATAGTTTCCAGTGAGCTGAGGGCCTGTGGAAACTAGGAGTTGCTAAGTGCCTCAATCTTGCACACAGTCAGGCCCACAGTGATCTGAACATCAGCTCATCACGGGAAAGAAAGGACATGAGAACATAAACAATGACAAATATAGCCAATGACACTAAAAATGTCAGAAAATTAAACAAAGTGGGTGCAAATATAAAGGCAAAGTAGAGCCATGATTGCCAGTCAGAAAAACAGCTGAGTAGGAGTTTGCAGTTTAAGAAACCTCTGAAACTGCATACATTATGTTTAGATTAGATGGAGGAGAGTTTCATAACTAACAAAGACTACTGCAATTATGCTATGGGTAGGTCAACACCATAACAAAAAATATGTTCTCACTGAAGGTAATGGGAAAAAAATCCCTTTTACTTGATGAAACCACAAAAAAGTCACAGCTCATCATCTAAACAGATCTCCGTTACTGTGGTCGAGATTGTGAAAGGATGACTTTCTCCATTATTGTGTATTACAGGTTACTGGTGAATGCAGCACAGCACAGAGCATTATCTGATTTAACTGGGAACACTACCTGCACGTCCAGGGTGATTCACACGCTCTCTGCTATGCCCATACCCCTCCCATGCCAGGTGGCCTGGGCTTGTTGTGAGCAGAAGATGAGGCAATACTCTCCTCCTTTGCTTCTCCTTGCCTCCTGATTACATCCCCCGTACCACCAGGGCACACAGGGCTCTCCACATCACTTCAATCCTAAACATGAGACACAAGTAGGAGTTAGTACCATGCTGTTAGGGGGTTAGATAACGATTCTGCTGCTTCTGAGCCCACATTGTGGTTTCTCCTGCAGCCTTATGAAACCCCTGTGAGGAGCTCAGTTGGCCTCGAGCTGCCTTTCCCCGAGTAGGCTGCCCTGGGGGAGGGCAGGTGGAACTTTCTGGAAGTTCCATTCCCCAAGCACTGGAGGCGAGGCTTGGGTCTGCTGATGGCAAAGGCAGAGCCATTCCCTGGGGAAGGGGCTTCAGCCCTCCTGGTGGTGGTCCTCGAGATTCCTCACGCATTGGATGGGTGAGGAACGCAAGTTCCCATTGGGGCCACCAGTCCCCATCATGGCTTTCAACAGTGACCCACTGGGACCCCTCAAGTTTCACAGAGAGGGCAGCTGCCCAAGGCAGGAGCACCTCGGCCAGCTCATCGAGAGGTGCCTGGGGGGCTGCTGAGGGCAGTCAGTGGCTGCCCCCCCTCCTCAGGGTCCCAGCAAGGAGCGCTGAGGGGGACGGGCACCTCGATGGGACTGTGGGCATGGTGGGCTGAGGGGGACGGGCGCCTCGATAGCACTGTGGGCATGGTGGGCTGAGGGGGACAGGCGGCTCAAGGGGGCTGAGAGGTACAGGCGCCTCGATGGGACTGAGGGGATGGCGGGATGAGGGGAGCGGGCGACTCAGTGGGGCTGAGGGGGACAGGCGCCTCGATGGGACTGAGGGGATGGCGGGCTGAGGGGAACGGGCGGCGAGAACAGGGTCTGACCGCACCGGGCACTGGCGGCGGCGACTCCCCGGCTCCAGGCAGGGCTGGCGGGGGCGGAGGCGGCGGGAGCGTCAGCAGCCTGCGACCGGGGCGGAAGGAGGCGCTGGGCGGGCTCCGCGTGTGAGGAGAGCCGAGCCGGGCCGGGCCGGGCCGGGCCTGGGGAGGTAACGGCTCGGGATGCGGGGACAGCCGGCGGCTGCCTGGGGGACACGGGCGGTGGGGCGAGGGCGGTCCCGCCCCCCGCGGAGCCGTCACGGGTTAACGGTGCTCTGCCGCAGGCTAATCCCGCCTCTGACCCCTTCCCTGCCCAGTCCGTGCTTCTCACCCCCCTCCCGCAGCAAATACCGCGTTAAATCCTTCGGGCCCGGAACAGCCGTGAGGTTCCCGGGTCCGCTGGGACGGGCTGATGCGCTGCCGGGGCGCGGGAGGGGGCTGAGGGGGGCTCTGGCACCGGGATCACCTGTCGGAGCGCGGGCAGAGAGCGATTCACCAGCCCGGAGGGGAGAGAGGGCTGTGCTTGCCTCCTCCTCCTCTTCGGGAGCTTCCCCTACCCCCATGCCAAGCTGCCAGGCTGCAGCAGGGGGAAGAGGCAGCCTGCCAGGTTCTTGTGGCAGCTGGTCAGGGGAGGGAGAGGAATACCTGGGCTGTGGTTGAAGGGAGCACAGAGTTATGTCAGTGGTTTAATTTGTGAGGCTGCGAGGGATCGCCTGGGTCGTTGGGTTTAGGTCGCTGCAGCCATGGCAAGGCCGCAGAAAAGTCCTGATCCCGCGGCAGGAGGCCCTGCCTCACCTCCTTGCCACTGCCATTCCCACCACTGCCATGCCCCTGCTCCCATTCCCCCATTGCCATTCCCCCCCACACTGCCATTGCCCCCCACTTGGCAGCACCCTGTGGCAGCAGCGATACTCCTCCAATCCCCTGCGTGCTGCCCAGAGGAGAAGTGTAGCACAGTGCAGGAGCCTCTGCACTGGGAGGGAATGGAAAATATTTCAAGTGTTTGTAGCTCAACTCTGTTCCTTGCAGTAGGGGGAGGGGAGGCAAAGAATTTTCCAAAACTTGTCACAGACACCAATTTTACCCCAAGTGGATGAATATAATGTGCCAGTTAGAGGTCTGAGCCTGAGAGATGAGTCACTTGGGATGTCAGTGTGCACTGACATGGACTGGACTTTCTGGACTTGATGGTCTTGAAGGTCTCTTCCAACCTTGATGATTCTGTGATTCACTGCTGTGACAATTAGCTGTGTTAAGTGTAGTGGCTCAAAGGAAGGCAAAGAAACTGGGAGCCAGTTTGTGTGATCAAAGGGAGATCTCTCTGTGTCCCTGCAGACATGCTGCAGGAATGTTGTTTTTGCAAATGGGTGTAGTTGCAGTAAATACTGTGAAAGAAATGGACTACAGTGGAGATCCTTTCAAATGGCACTGTTCTGAGAGCTGAAAACTGCACTGCGTTAATAGTATCTCCAAAGAGAACTATAGGTATCATTTATGAGCGATTAAGACATGAATGTAATCAGAAGATGCAAGCTATAAAACACAGCGTTTGTGCTATCCCACAACATCCTGTATGTATACACTTCTGAATTCATTCTTACTATTTCACCATATGTCCAGACAGGCCTGTTCTGCTTTGGCATCTGAACACCTTACGCAATAATCGTGTCATGAGCTTTGGAAGTTTTGCCCACAAGCACATCTGTTTATCAGCGTCAGCGACTGAAATTATAAATGTAGCTGCTTAGCAGCAAACTGAGCCACGTGGAGTTCTGGTCAACAAAACCAGACTACAGTTCTAGAACTGAAAGTTTTTAATTAAAACGATGAAGCAGGACCAAGCTGCTACACATTCAATACAAAAGTGCTGAAACCAAATCATTACTCTGAAACTAAAAGTTATGCTGCTTTTGGTTATGTTGCGGAAGAAGTAGCGGAAATTTGACTTTCAAAGCCTTCTGTCAAAGGCTTTAATTTCTTACTTTGGGATCACCATTGCTTCCTTAAAAAATTCATTCCACAAACTGATCAACCTGCAGCTTAGATATTTAGCTGCCTTATCTGAAAGGCAATGCCAGGTTTCATTGTAAGTTGCCTTCTGATTTCTAGATTGTCTACTCAAAGCCAACAAAAGTTAATTGTAATTCTCTAAACAGCTCCAAGACCATGGGGCTGAAGTGATAAAACTGTTTGCATTAGTTTGCAAATGGTTGTTTACATTTAGCTGCAGCCCAGATTGCTTCCCAGACAATTACTTTGTACCCCCAATGGCAAATTAAAGACCACAGTATTCTTTTTTCCCATGTAGTTAGTAAAATTTATGCATAAATTAATGCAGATACTGCGTTTATCCAATCTCTAAACCTCCAGTTGGAGAACTGTCAAGTAAACTTTAGTTAGTGGCCTTAATAACTAGTGATTTATGTCAAGGCAAGTAGTAGTATGTCTTTACGTTGTAAATCACCAAGAAATAAGCAAGAAAATGGGAATAAAAGTTACTGCTTAATAACATGCTCTGAGTGCTCATGAACTGGAATTGGACAAAGTACTGAAATTGGTACTAATTGCACTAATTGTACAAGTTTCTCAGTAGCATTTTGGAGCAGGCTGAGAAATTACAATGTATTTCCCGATTTTTCTTTAAAATGTACTATAAACCAGGAAAAATACTGGTTATATTCAAATCTGTAGGTTTTTCCATTGATTTTAATTGGATCAAGAGTGCAGCGGGGGGGAGGGGTGGGTCTCTGAACCTCCTGGAGTTCCTCTTCCACACGTCTTATTTGCACAGTGTGGTTTTGTTCTGTATTGGGGAAAATAAAATTATTTGGGTTTATGTCTGTACTTTCAGATCCTGCGAAACTCTCCTGACCTATTTAATCTTTTCTAGGTGTCAGTCATCAACCAACAACTGTCACAATGAGTTTTATTGAATATGGAGATACCATAAAGGATGGTGACACAGCTATTGTGTTCTTGGGCCACGAATCCATGTTTCCTGTGAAAGTCCAGCATGGCACTGTAACACAGACTAAGTACGGGGTCATCAGGCATTCCACAGACCTCATAGGCAAGAAGTATGGCTCCAAAGTGACCTGCAGTAAGGGAGGATGGGTGTTCATTCTTCATCCAACTCCAGAACTGTGGACCATGAATCTCCCTCACAGGACACAGATTCTGTATTCCACTGACATCTCTATAATCACCATGATGTTAGAACTGAAGCCAGGCTCCATAGTATGTGAATCAGGTAATAATTACTATGTTGAAATCCTTTATTAAGAACTAACACCAACACTTCCATGAAAAAACTGGCTTTTCTTTATATTTTGCTGAAAGGTGAGCTTTTTCCCACTGTGATACAATTTTCCGAGCCTACACATTGAATAATTTTATTTCATGTGCACGTGTTACCAGCTGCTGTTTCTTCAACAACTGATGCTACCTCAGTAAGCTGGCCTTGTGTATGGATATACCTCTGAGTATGTGTTTGATTAATTCATCTGTTTAGAACAAGTATGGACACGTTTTCACTTCCCTTTTCTAAAACTGTTGTTAAGTACTTTAAAATGTTTTTAAATACATTATTTGAATCAAAAGTTGAGCTTTGAATTTGCAGTTTCAGAAAATATAGTTGAGATGGCCTCGTGGAAGAGATTCTGATGATAGGGTGTTGAACTAATAAGGGAAATAAAGTGGCAGTGTTTATATAAAGTGATACCATGTAAGTACATATATTTCGTTTTTCTCTTCCCAGGTGTGATCTACTTGTAGCACCACAACTACATGCAAAATCACTGATATAATACAATGGATGATATGTTCTTCACAGGGATTTGTTTTGTTTCAAAACTTGGTTTAATTTATTACAGCTTTCGTGATTTTGCTTAATTTGGAAGTAAGGAGTGAAATTTTACATAAATATTTTCCTGATTACACAGAGTTTATAATAATGTCTTCGTAACTTTATTACTGCAGGCAGTATAAAGCTTGCTTGATTTGAGTGCATTTCTGTAGTTTGAAAAAATATGAAATGAGGCAGTTTGTCCTTGTTTTTTCTGGCTGTTTCCTTTGAGTGTTTTTATGAAGCAGTTTCATACACTTCCCTTTCAAGCGTAGATATGGCAAAGGATCAGCATGACAGGACTGTGATGCACTGTACTTTCCTGCATTTAACGTTTCCTGTTCCCACTCAAACATAATTTTGGGCAACTTTTCAGGCATAAGGACCACTTATCTCTGCATCCAGTTGTACCCGTTAAGAACCAGTACACTGAGCTGGTTGCTGTACAGCAGCACTGGAAACAGGCAAAGCCATGTGCAGAAGCCTCTGATACTGTGAAAATGGTTGGGTCCTTTGAGTTTGTAATTTGGTTTGTAGAACAATCGGGCATTTTTAGGTTTGTCATGGGGAGTAGCTTCATCAGGGAGCTCTTCACCTCTTTCCCTCCCTGCTATGTTTAGGCAGGATGGGAAAAAGCCCACAACAAATTAGTTGGGGGAGGGGGAGATGTGAATTGTTCCATGTTCCTGCTCCCTTGGAATAGTCAAATGTATAGAGCAGCACTTAAAATGTTTTCAGTAATGTCAGAGGTGCCTAGAGAGAATGAAAATGTCAGATTACTTGTTTATCTAGAGAGCTAAGAAATGGAAACATTTGATGATTTCAAAAAATGTTACAAGTCAAAAATCATAGACACAAACAATTCTTTTTGCTAATGGGAAGCTGCCCCCAGGTTTCTTTTAATGCCTGTGCTATCAATGTATTGCAACTTAAGCTGTCCAGGAAAAGTGAACAGTTTTACTGCTGAAGTTGTGCTTGTCTTGCTTGAAAGGCTCACTGTTCACAAAGAAAAGAAGTACTGCATGAAATCTGTCTGGTTAACCTTGAAGCAAGAGATCTTACTGCAGATTTGCTCTGAATTACAAATTTTACAGGCATTGACAACTAGAGCCTCCAGCGTGGTGATGTAATCTACTTTGGTGCCATCCCAAATTAGATGGTATTCAGTGGTCCAAAATCATTAGTTCTCAGTTAACCTCGTGTGTGCTACACAGAACCAGCCCAGTGGCCATGAGTAGAAACAAGACAGGAAGTCTGGTCTAGCAATGACACTTGAGTCTGCTTCCTGCTGCTGTTGGTTATAGATGTGTTTTGAGCATTAATTAGCATGGAGGTATGTCTTTTTTATTATTTGAAGTTGAACTTAAACACACAGTTGCTGTATGTACTGGCAAAGAAGGCTCTGTAAAGAGCCCAGGCTCCTTTCCTCTTGTCTTGCTGATTGGACTGTGGAATTGTGCCCTGCATTTACACAGTGTAAGCAAAGCAGAACTGTGGATTAGTCTCCACAACTGTGTGAAGAAAGGATCGAAAAAGTAAGATGAAATGCCCTCTGTGTCGTGTTGTAATGCTGTGAATATGAGTATAAATGATCTTTTGTATGTGATTATAAAAATGGAGTAGAATAACCAGAAGGCTTAATTTTATATCACTTGAATTATATGGTTTAAATTGATTAGTCGTGTTTGTCATAAAAGATACAAACGTATTAATACAGTTTTTACTATTTTTAATAATCTTTAATAAACACATAAAGAGCAAGCTTGTCAGCAGTACATGCATAATTAAAATGATCCAGGCATACTCAGTCAGGGAACTCTGCATCTGCCTGATGTTTCATTACGGGGGTGTAGGAATATGATCCTTTTCCTGTCTTCTGCTAATTTCTAATTTATAAAGGTATGTTAAGATTTTAAAAGTGTTAGCACTAATGTTGGAGCTAAGATCTATTGAAAGCATTGCTTTCTGGTCTGAGGAATTCCCTGCTTGGATACAGTTTTTAGCAGCCTGATCTTCCCAGAATTAAAGGATACTCAAGAGAGCTGCTTAAATACCTGCTGTAAGTGGCCTGATAGTGTGAAAGTTTATTCTTGTCAGGTAACTCTGATCCAGTTTGTGCTCACTGCATGTGCAGCAACTGTCTAGATAAAGGAATAAGCTGAATGTTTCTTTTTTGTGTCACTCTCCAAAACTAGCCTAGATGTCAGCTTCCCAGGTAAGGCTGCCTGTAATATAACAACTCCATTTGTCAATAGATTTTGAGGGGGTTACATTTCTTTTTATACTACGTTGGAACCAATATGAAACCTTTCAGATATTTTTTCCAAACAAATGTGTGTTTTTCTTTCTAGTCTCCACAGATGGAGGCTTTTTTACTGTCCTGTCTCCCTGGTGAGACCTAAACAAATGTCTGTCCTAACCCTCAGAATTGCTCAGGGTTACCCTCAGAATTACACAGTGCAGCACTGTGAAACCTCATTTAATCTGATAAATCTCAGAAATATTTTGGCTTTGATGGAGCATAGTATTTAGACAAAATGTAATTTAGTTAAAAGTACTTTAAGCACCATCCCAGTGATCCTTCAGCATTCAGCAAAATCAGACTCACATGAGCAAAAATGTTAATTGGATTTTTTTGTTTCCCTTCAGCTAAATCCCAAATTAAAAATTGCTAAACCCTATTCATTGCCACACAGCAATGGGTTTCTGAGCTCATGGGCTGAATTTCTGAAGGCTGAGAACAGTGTTCTGGGTCCTCATGGTTTCTAAGTAAAGGGGTAATGAGAGCTGCTGCCCAGCCTTACACTAGAGCCTCTCAAAAACAATTATGAAATTTTCAAACTCACAGCCAGGGTATAGATTTTGTTAAGAGTACACTCATAAAAAATTAGTGACGACTTAATGATTCATGGACACTTAATAAATCATTAATAGTTTATTGTGGAGTCCCAGCAAGTCATCTGTCTGCTTATGACTCTTCTGAAGTGCTTACAGACTTTTTGACAAATCCTGCTCACGTCTTTACAATTTTTGTGCCATAGGTATATGTAAATTGTTTGCAGCTCTGTCTTTAGTGTAATGTATAGACCAAAGCTTGGAAGTATTTGATTCTAGAATGTGCTCATACTAATTAATGTCTGTGTTTCATAATGTCTCCCTTATCTGCCTCTTAGCAGCTGTTCAGGTTAGAGTGAGAGAATTAGAAAACCTCATCCTTGTATAGCACCTCTTGAAGAATTAGAATGGCCTCATCAACACAAATGTCACAGAGCACAGTATTCTCTTGCCACACCAAAGCACTGAACTGGTCCAGTTCTGGGGCCCTCAACGGAAGGACCGTAAGGAGGACGTGGACCTGTTGGAGCAAGTCCAGAGGAGGCCATGAAGATGCTCAGAGGGCTGGAGCACCTCTCCTGTGAAGGCAGACTGCTCAGCCTGGGGAAGAGAAGGCTCCAGGGAGACCTTATAGCACCTGCCAGTACCCAAAAGGGCTACAAGAGAGCTGGAGAGGGAATTTTACAAGGGCATGGAGTGATAGGACAAGGGGTAATGGGCTTTAAGCTGACAGAGGGCAGCTTTAGATTGGATATTAGGAAGAAACTCTTTACTGTGAGGGTGGTGAGGCACCAGCACAGGCCGCCCAGAGAAGCTGTGGATGCCCCATCCCTGGAAGTGTCGAAGCCCAGGTTGGGTGGGGTTTTGAGCATCCCGGTCTAGTGGAAGGTGACCTGCCTATGGCAGGTGTGTTGGAACTAGAGAATCTTTAAGATGTCTTTCAACCCAAACCATTCTGTGATTCTGTGATGATTCTATGAACCAGAAGTGATCACGTGAGGCATCACTGCAATGTATTCAGACTTGTGGCTGTCATGCAGCTGATGTGGAATGCTGTCAATACTGTAAAGCATTTGTTTCCAGACTTTCTGGGCTCACTTTCATCTTGTAATTTCACCTGACCACCAAGCTCACTTCTCCTGCATCTCTGAACTTAACCATATTATATCCATTCTGTAGAAGACTCTTGAATCTCTGAGGAAATATTAGTTCTTAAATCCTTTTGTAGGCAGTGCCAGCCTCCAAGCTTCCATACTATCCTTCTCTTAACTTCTCAGTTTGGTCAGTGAGCAGTGGCCCTCTCTGACCTCCAGCCTGCTGCCTAAAATTCCTGCTTCAGCATGGTGTCCACAACAGGTAGGCAGGAGAGCAAGCTAATCTTCTGTAAAGAGAACTCCTTGACTGTAAGGGAACTTTTTAATTTGCTGTTTTCTCTTTCAACCACCAGTTCATCTCCTTGAAATTCTCTCCCTCCCTCTCATCCTCTTCCTCTCTGTCCCTGCTCTTGCTGTGTTCAACCTCTGGCACCATGATTTGTGCCCCTGACTATCTTCACAGTAGGATCTTTGGGTTAATTTCCATCTGATGCTTAATATCTCTTCATATATTCATTAAAAGTCATTAATGATTTTCTGGTTACATAAACTTGTCATGTACAGTGAGCAGTCTTCCTCTGTTCAGTGTTTCTTGACAGATTTTAGTTGTGGAGTTGTTAGCTCTGTCTAAAGATTAATTTTCCCTTGGTTTGAGGCTCCTTCCGTTCTCATGGCTGACTCATGACCCATCTTACAATTTGCTAGGTCTAAGTGGCGTAGCTAGGAGACAAACACAGCAACACTGTCATTGTTTTGTTGTATTTACTCCTTTCAGAATATCTTTGGTAGCCAAATTTTGCATCAGAAGCTTTAGTTCTATTAAAATGTTACTAGATATTGTAGAGACCCAGAATTAAATAACACACTGTATACTTTTCTCTTTTCGTGTTTCCAAGCAATATGAACCTATATATGCACTTAGGAGCTTATTCAGCTTTATTCCAAAATGATTTTGCTTAGGCACTGTAAACATCTATGGATCTTAAATGACGATTTGTAGTTCCTTTTTTAAAAAGAAGATCCCCTGATGAGAAATTGCTAGGGAAGACAAGCCAAGCGATAGCTGCAAAGAGGAAAGGTAGTGGAACATAGAATCAGGTCACTTATGTTTATGGCATGGATGGGATTCCAGGAGATTAGACAAATATCCCTTTGCAATAAGAAAAGCAGACAACAGAAAATAGTGTGAAAAAGTGCTCTGTATTCCATATCAGTCAAGCACTGTGCTCGATGCTGTGGTGACACCCGTGTTTCTCTTGACGGTATTCTGTGCTGAGATGGCATGTGTTGTGTTTGAACAGCTCAGGTGTTGTCCACTGCAACTTTGAGAAGGTGAGAAATGATCTTAACATGGACATTGTCTCCAGGTGGCTGAGCTGTGTGGAGGCTTCTCTGTGGAAAAGCCATTACTTAAATAAGCGGAGAGTGAGAAGAACAGATCTGTTGGAGGTCAGGGCCAGGATCAAGGTGTTTTCCTGGTCAATAGTTTATTGTCTGCAATCGGAAGTATCACTGGGTGCTGAGCTAGAGTGTTTCATCTAAGTGTCCACTTGCTAGGATTGAAATCCTTCTAAAACTGCAGTGTTTTCCTTGTCTTGGGAGAGGGCAGAAACACTCCTCTGAGCTTAAATGTGTTGGAGAAGGAGAAGGGCATGTGCTTGAGCCCAAGAAGGGCTACATCAGTGTGCAGGGTTGTAAGCCACCTAACCCATATGCGTTTAACAGAGGATTTTAATTCCTGCCTTTGAACTGAGATGGACCACATTCCAAGTCTGCACACTGATCCCTTGCACAGTGCCACCTCCTCAGATCTTGAGCTTGGAGTGTGGCATATTGGGGACCCTGCGGTGTCTCATTAATGCCTGCAATGCAGATGTCTGCTCTTTGACTAAGATGTTTGAGATCACAAAGTAGTCAGTGTGAAAAAGCATCACGTTTTCCAAGTGAAAATTAGCAATGACACAAGTGCTCACCTAAGTGAGCTCTAAAGCAGCAGCTGCTAAGAATGTCTTTGTTTTGTCGTTGTTTTACCTTTCTTCTGTAGAATCCATTCATGATTAATATGCAGTAGTTAGATGGGCATTGTCCTGTGGTAGAGAGCAAACAGTCTTCAAGGCTATTTATAGTGCGGGCTATCAGAAAGGGAGCATCCTGGTGTAAAAGTTATAAACTCTATTGTTCTAGCTGTCTTACATTCTTCTTCTAGGTCAAATGAGGAACATAGGCATTTCACTGCACCTGTATGCGAATGAAAATCTGTTGAAGTTCTTCCACTTCTTATCTTGCCTCTTCTGATGTAAAATACTAATTTTTGACATTCAGTTTTTTGCTTTATTTGTATACAGGCAATTCAGCTATGATATCTCTGGTTTGGTAGCATTCTAGTACATGGCTTCAGTAGTACTCCTTGCTGCTGTCCTGACTAGAATACTTTCATGCTAGAATACTTTCATTTCTCAAGGAAACTGGTACTGACCTAGAACTTAGTGAAAACTGGTGCCTAAGACTCTTTGAGTTATTTTGCTGAATACTGCTTTTTTTAGTAGTGATTTCAAAATAAGCACAAACAGAAATTGAAAATTAATTGAGAAGGTGATGGGAGGACAGAAATGTGGAACATTGCAGATTTGCAGGGAAGAAGGTGAACATAAACATTCATTTCCCCTTCTACAACATCACAGAAACATAGGGTTGAACCCCTGACCTCTGTAGACAGTACTGATTGGGCCTTAGGGGCATGTGGTGAGTCTGGACTTAAGCCAGACTCTCATGTTATTAATGGATCACATCAAGTGTGCAGAACTATCAGGCACATGAGAGTAGAGGGTCATAATAATTTCACAGATCTGGATTCAGAATCTGTCATGTCTTCAAGAAGAGATTCGACAATGGTGTGTAATTCTTCACCATCTTATTCTTTGTTTTCAGCAGTTTTGAGGGTGTTGTTACAGAGAAGGCAGGCAGCATCGTCAGAAATACTCTCATTAACTATGTTAATGTGATAGAATTTGATATGTTAAAATGTGATACATATGTATTGTTCTCATGTTTGCAGTAGCCAGTCAACAATAAATAATTCCTGGCAACCTTTTTTAACAAAAACTCTACTGTAATACACCTGCAAGTAGTGACTTCCAGGCAGTCCTGGGTTTAGTTCAAGGTTTGGCTTGGAGTTTGTAAATAAAAAAAGAGTATCAGAAAAGAAGACAAAAAATCTTAATGGGTTTTCCTATGAAGTACACAAACCATATCTTCTGTGGTGTTTTTAAGAGCAGATTTAAAAGGAAAGTGATTAAAAATGTAAAAGAATATGAATAAGGAAACTGGATACATGCACAAGCTGCCTCTCTCTTCTGCTTACAGCCCAGCTGTGCTGACAGGCCTTCTGTTCACTCCTCTAGATTAGCAGAGAGAGATGGAGAAAGTGTGCAGCATTACCCATTTGAGAGGTAAAATAATTAAATTCCCTCATTTTACAATAGTTCTCGGTTGTGTAATCCTCCCTTATGTCATTAAATGTAAAGGCAGAATTTCAGCCTTTAGCACTCTATGAACAACAGTTCCCTGCTTTTGTCATTTAAAAAAAAAGTCAATGGAATGCTGTTTTTTTATGCACTTATATCTTTGAGTTTTCTCAGCCACATGGCTGCTGTGCTCCTTTTGACCAGGGAAAAGTTTATGTTGACATTTAAGAACCCACAAGTGCCCTAACTAGATAGTTTTTGATGTGAGCACATTTAAGTGTGTTTTGCTTTTTGTTTGCATTATTTCAATACTGGCACAAATGCCTGGATTTTCACTTTATTAAATGCATGTGTCACAGTTTCTCTCTTCCCTTGGACCTCTCTGAAGCCAGTGCAAAAATGTGTAGGTCCTTCCTCCCCCTCTAATCTGCTGTGCTAAAGCTGGGGGTGGGGGTGCCAGTCTGCCCACTGGGGTCAGAGCCCTCCCAGAGGGAAGCAGAGGAGCAGAGCCGATTCCGCGGTGCCGTTGGTTGATCCGGTGGCAAACTTGGGCCCTGAGCTCTGTTTACAGTCTGAAGGTCTCCCCTTTCAGAGCTGTCGGATTCAATACACTGCCACGACAGTGTTTCTCCCCTTGTGTGACTAGAGGGCAAGAACCTTGGATCTGTCAGTGAACTTGGACTTCCTGTATGATTATGGAAAGCACTGCTCCAATTAAGCAGCTGGACCAGCCCCTGTGCCCCTTAATTAATTTCCTTTCTGAGCTGCTGTACGTCAGATTCCATCCCTTATAAGTGTTTTAAGATTTATGTTAGTTGAAAGAACTTGCTTCAGGTTGAAATTTAGCCTGAACAGTCATTGAAAATGGCTAGAAATAGATCTTCTTTCTACAGGAGAAATGTGTTCCAAGCGCAGAATTATGAATCAATAAACACAGATAATTTGCTGAGGGTTTTTGAATTGGGTTGGTTGTGGTGTTTTGAATTTGGGGGGTTGCTCTCCTAAATGCCACTTGAGTGAGTAATTTGCAATGGGAATTGGTATATGGGTGTTTTCTTCAGTGAAAATGTTTGTTATTAGTCACTCATCTGTTTAATACTCCAATGGATCATTTAAAATAAGTTTCCTAAATTATCAAACCAAAACAAGGAAAAATCTATGCCTTGTTAGTCCCTGTTTGTACGTGGTAAATGCAGTTACCTACAGTTTCAAGTTTGTGATGGATCTCATTACAGTAAGTTAAGATTGTGTAGGTGTGTACGTGTGTAAGTGACACATGAAAGCAGGTGTTCGGTCAGCGTGGCTGCAAGGAGCCAGCAGGCCTTAGTTTTGGATAATTTCAGTGCGAGTTGAGGATGTCTCTTAAGAGGTCTGGGCAAAGCAAACTCTATATCCTATAGGCCATTTGTTTGCATGGATATTAAAAGGCTTTTCAAGCACGGACTCTTGCCAAAATCTTTTCTTTGTTTAATGAAGTGTAAGATTTTGAAAATCCGTTAAAATTTGCCCTAATCTCTTTTCACCCTAGAAGAGCCTGGTGCTTTGAAAAAAAAAACTCTCCAGTTAATTTCCCTGAATTTTTCCCATTGCATTTACTTCTTCACGCTCTCTTGGGGCGTGAGGAAGTTCTTAAAGCTATAGCTGACCCTTGGCATTAATTTTTTACTCCAGGGAGATAGGACAGGTCCTGAGTTTGCCAGATGCAATGCTTTGAGGACCCTAAAGACTGTTTCCTAGGCCTCTTAGTCCCTCTCTCCTTGTGAAGGAAGAACTGTTCTCTTTCAATATCTGAGCCACTGGTTTCTGTTCATTTGGGTTTTGAATAAGTGTTCCAAGCAGGAGGACTAATGGAGAAGACTTGTGGTCTGATGTTTGGCATTGACAAAAGGCGTTTCATGAGTTGTTTGTCTTTTCTAGGTACAGGCAGTGGATCCCTCTCCCATGCTCTCATTCGGACAGTGGCTCCCACAGGACACCTGTACACGGTGGAATTCCACCAGCAAAGGGCCGAGAAGGCGCGGGAGGAGTTTCGGGAGCACGGGGTGGATCACCTGGTCACCGTGACCAACCAGGATGTCTGCAGAAATGGGTTTGGCGTCTCAAACATTGCAGACGCGGTGTTCCTAGATATTCCATCTCCATGGGAAGCCATAGGACATGCAAAGTCAGCGTTAAAAACTGAAGGTAACTGAATTTATCTCTTTTTGTTCAGGAAGCACCGTGCACACACACACCCCTGCCTTTGAGCCATGCGCTAGATCTGCTCCCTTCCATTGTGTGATCACTGCTCTCAAATGTCAAAGTCTCTAGGCGTTTCTAAGGCTGAAAAACCTTCAAAAGGCATCTTCAATTTACAGTGGAAGATTTGAAAGCAGAAGAACAATTTTTTTCCTACAGGCCTGTGCGAGCTGCCACAATTAGCATGGGCAGTTCATAAAAAAACCCTTTGAACCTTTGTCAAGTGCATTTTGCTAGATCTGAGGTGTGTGGGAAGCAGAAGTAACAATAAATGCTGAAAGCAAATTTCTTGGGCAATTCAGTGGAAAGGTGTTTGTATAAAAGGTGTTCAGCCTCAGTTCACATCAATCATTGCAGATTTGTGCCTATTTAACAGAGCACCCCATTGGTAATGTTAAAAAAAATGTGGTTACACTTAAATATGCTTGCCAGTTTCTGCCCTAAATCTTTGCGGTTGGAGCGAGTGAGAAGTTTGCCGTTGGATGCAGTGGGAATGGAACATAAAGGCTGTTCTAGCTTATGCCAGTTATTCTGGGGTGGTGACAGCAAGTGAGAACTGCTGTTGAGGTTTTGCACCGATTTCATCACCTTATTATGAATCTTTTCCCTATTGAAAAATAACCTTCAGTGAATAAATAATTCTTTTATCCTGGAATAAGTTTTCCCCTACTTAACGTTATACTAGTGTGAGTCTGAACTAACTTGTGCCAAATTACTTCCACCTACAAAAGTGACTTTTCTAATCAAGAGAGCATGGAGTGCTGAACAGTGCCCATGCTGAGACATGAATTTAGTAAAAGTAGATTGTGTGCCAAGGCCCAGTTCTTTGTTAAAATATGTAATCATGGGCCTGACTTCAAATTAATTGCTAAGTCTTCTTGAAATCACAAGATTTAAGCTTTATCTTAAAGGTCACTGAACGTGCACTACCTTGCTGAGTCAGGACCAACCTCACTGTTAGGCTACCTCAGTTACTACAGAAAATTTTCTAGAAAGCTTTCTGATCCCAGTGTAATACACACTTTCGTTAAAGGTAGAGTAAGACTTGTTAGCACTCTGTACCTGCAGTGGTTACAGCTCAATTTGTAGCTGCTTTCCAGTATGTCCTGGGGAAAAAAAAAAAATCACTGCACTGTACGATGCCCTTCCCATGCTCAAATTATCTAATCTAGTGAGCACAACACTCAGCTGACTTGCCAGCTTAGAAGGCGCTGCATTGCGCAGACCAATTTGAATTATTTAAGTGGTGCATGCTTGGAATACTAAGCAGGGCTGCTTGAACAGTTCCAAGTTTTGAATCTTTGTATTACTACAGCCTTTAAAATCCTAGAAAAGGTATTATAGTCCCAAACTGGCCATGCCATCTGGCTGTACTTTTCTGTGCTATGCTAAGTGGTTACATCTGCTTAGGCAACATAAATAATACTTCAAAATCCCACATTTTGTGTTTGTGAAGTGTCGTCATGCACTTTATGAACCACTCCAAAGGCGAAGTTGCTGATCCTTGCTGCAGTTTTTGCTGCAAACAGCCACCTGTGTCTGAGATCTGGTAGTAGTCTAAGGCTCATCTTTTGGGCTTCATAGTACCTGACTGACTTGGGGCATTTTTTTTTATTTTCCATAGAAACAAAAGCTGTTTTTATTTTCCATATAAAATATAATTGATTGCAGTAGTAATATGTGCAGACTTACACACTTTTCTGTTTTATTCCAAATCATGCAGGCAGTTTTGTGATCTTTTTACTGCTGCAAAATCTAAAATATAACAGGTTATCTGTAACTGCTTCCTTTTCCCTACCACAGGCAGATAATTTTATAGTGCTCCTTTGTTTGTTTTCAAATAGTTAAAGCTCTTCTGCAGTAAGAACAGTCTGTGCACATACTGCTGTTACTCAACCCGAGGGTTAGTGCAGTGATAAAGCATCACTGGAGAAAATGAGTCCTGCCACTCTTTTCTGACCACGCCCTCTCTCTCTCTCTCAGATCTGGACAGGGTCACATTTGAACCGTTCACACTGTGGGTTTTGTTGTGATGTGCCATGCAAATATCACAGCTGTACTGCCAGACAGTGGTAATTTAGTACCTAAAGTCTTAAGATATTTTGAATGAAAGCACAGCTAAGCAAATTCAATATATAGCATTAGCTAGTCTTTAAAACCACAATACCCATGATAGAGTTCAGCTGAGACAGTATGTAAGAGAGAGTTCTTAACCTTAACAAAACCTTATCACATCAGTATTTTCTCTCCTACTTAAGCTCAAGGTCCTGAGTAGTTGCAGCTCTTAGTAGGCTGAGTGTTAATGATCCTCTTTACAGAGTACATTTATCACTCACCATGCCTTGCAGTATGCTGTAAATACACTACTTACAGCAGCTTGGCCTCCCATTTAAAGCAGTGCCAACCTCTGAAGAGCTGAAAGAATAAAAAATGGCACAGTAGGTTTGTGACTAGAAGGTTCTTGTTCTCTGGTGATGCACTCTGCCAACGTTCAGGTTTGCATCTCAGCTGCATCCTTTTGTGGTGATTTCACCAGTCATACTTCCAGCAGAAATGCTGCTTGTAATACCTCTCAGGCACTGCTGCACTGCAGAACCTGCTTTCATTTCCAGACCTGCACTGTTTTTCTTTTGCAGCATCTGCTGATTAATGCTTTTCTGTAATCGTAGCTGCTGTTCCCAGTATCTGACCTTGATGGTTTTTACAAAGTTGCTGTTAACCCCTTCAGGCTAAATTTTTAAAAATTAAGAAAATGAGAAAACTGTGAGATAACAAAAATACCCTCAATATTCTATAGTTCTTAAATGCCCTGAAACTTTTGACTCACAGTCATCTCACAGCTGAATACTGTAGTGCTTTGAATATAATTCTGCACCCACCTACTCTACCCTCATAAATACTGTCTATTTCTTCCCAGGCTGTGGAAAATCAGGGAGAAACTCACTGGTACAATACTTTTCATACAGATTTTAAATTTTCAGGTAGGGAGATGGAAAAATACAGCCATATATTAGATTGGATTGGCCTCTTGCATTTTAAGTTGGTCCCTGGTGGTGTTTAACAGTCTGAGTCACAAAATTATTAAAATCACCCCTCTTTTATTGCCTTTCTTTCTTTGAAGATTTTACTCTTAAATTCAGACTTTCTGTTCCCTCTTGAGTATCATAAAGTCTCTAAATTACGAGTTTGTCAAATTATGATCCTTGAGATACCACCTGAATCAGGCAACATGCTACTGTCAGTTCTCCCTCCCCCCCCAAAACTCTGCAGGTAAAGTTCCCTTTGAACATCTCTGTGTTTGGCCTCTGCATTTCCTGCCATGACAGAAGCCCTTCAGCAGTACTCTGTAGTACAGCTGGTTTTAATTTCCAAAGTCCTTTATTTGTTTCTCTTGTACACAGGGGACAGGTCTAGTTTGCATTTTTCTCCCTTGGCATAGCCATTGATTGTTGTCCTAACCTGCCAGGTTTGGTTATTACAGAGGCTGTATAAGAGCATAAATAATATCTCATCCTCCCAGTCACCTGTGGTGCAGGTAAGGCATTGCCTAGTTTAGCTAGTTTCAATTTTCATTTGGGCTTGCCTCCTTCCTCCCCTGGGATTTCAGAGAGTACCATGTCCATATAGAAAGTCTCACTGGCTATTTTTCTTGAGCACCAGAGGTTATTCGTGGTCCCATTTTTAAACCACCCAGGTGTGGCTTTGAGGAGCAGCTGAAATCCATGGCCATAACTCTCACACCTGTGGTGTCTGAGTAGGGAGTACCCCAGGATGAATCACACTGAGAAGGGGGCAGTGACATCAAGGCTGATGTTGTTTGGGGTCAGGCTACCTCAGGAACACACAGGGAATGTGTTGGGGCAGGAAGAGGAGCCTGACAGTCCGGCATGCTGTCATCCTCCACCCGTGCAAGTGGTGCACTGGTTGGTATCACCACTTCTCGTGTCCCCAGGATATTATTTTGGAACAAATGGATGAAGCAATAAATGCCTGCTAAAATACCAGCACCAGCCTTTGCTTGTGTAGCACCTGCTTTGATTTCAAGGAGAATTAACTAAAGGGGAGATTAAAGATCCACAAACTGACTTTAATTGCAGCATGTACTCTCACTCAACATTGAGAGGCCGTCTGGTCTAGTGCAAAGCTGCACCACTAGGATCCAGGACCTGGTGCTAACCCACAAAACAGCTTCCTCTGTTTTCCAAGCACTGGCTGTTTGCTGAGCCAGCCCCGGTTGTTGTATCTCATGTGAGAGCATCACCCTGGCTTGGGTCTGTCAGGGATTGGTAGGTCAGGTGCACACAGTGGGCCTGGCCTGACGTACAAGTGACTCTCTCACATGTAGAGAGTTAAGCAGAAGGATTCCTGCATCAAAATCTACACTGTGGAAAACCAGCCAAAGCTACTGGCTTTTACACGGTTTGTTAGAAGTAGTTTGGGATTAAAGTATACTTAAAGAAAGTTGTTAGGTTTTCTTTCCCAATTTGGAGCCAACTGATTTTTAAATTTCCTTGTGGCATACTTTTCCCAGCCCATAATAATGAGCAGGAATAAATTCCTTTTGGATGAAGCACCTACAAATGCAGAGGTTAAGGTCACATTTGCAGAAAAATCACATCAAGCTCCTATTAATGAGCTGGCAAGTGATTTGGAGAAAATTCTCTTTTCTGAATCAAGAAATATCCTTTAATTTCTTTCAGCAGCCAAATCCTCTAATTTCACTTGTCAGGGAAGCTACATCAAATCGCCCACGAGCACACGCACTTAAAGGACATTCTGTCCCCTTTTACAGAGGCAATATTTTTAGTGTCCTACTAGCACAGAGTAAATGCCACAGTGATGCTGCTCGGTGACTCTCCTGCCTCGCCCCTACACAGTGATAATGCCTGTGTGATTTTTTTTCTTCCTTGAGATCTTTGTAATGTAATCTTCCAAATATGACAGTGCAGCCAAGTCTCAAAACCCAGAGCTGTGTTCTTTTACCAGAGGTAAAAATGCTGTGTTGTATTCTTTACATCACAGAATCATTTCTAAAATTACTGTCCCTTTTC